AAACCGAACAGAAAGGAACCAGAGAAATCACAATAAATTAAGGTATAGTGAAGTAACGAGAAAACGAAATGTACACGTTAGTAATGCCACATAGCCGCAAACTGGCGGTCAAATATTGTGTGATTTGACATAACAGATAAAGCCAACTAGCAAACAATATAAACACTACGGACAGATTATGCTACTACTGCTTGGGCGAATCAAATGATCTCGGTGTGCTATCACGCTGCCTTTCTGAAAAACCAGAAATGCAATCTGGAGATAACTTCAACTATTTTGAATGAAAAAAATCGACTATCACGAACAACAATGCATGAATTCCATACTTAGTGTCCTTCCCCAATGAACGCAAACCTTTTTTCACTATTAGAGTTTTCTTTTCAATGCCACGAGCCCTTCATCATCCCGAAGCTTTCAAATGGGATCAGCAGAGTGACCTATCTAGAAAGAGAGGAGCGGTGATGGAGTAAAGTTCACTAACCCGCTTACCACAGCGTTTCGGGGGTCAAATCCCGGATCCTCTAAAGCCGACCAAATCTCCTGCCCTGTCAGAAATGGTAAATTAGCACCAGATTCGTCTGGGTGGTTAAAAAAACTGAACTGTCAAGCAGCTGGTTTCACATCTCATTAAAAACATCATACCGCAATCAGAAAGGAAGCGTTCTGATGTCACGCCACGCGCGTCGACGCGCTGGGCTGTTTGGGCTACAGTTCCAACAGCGCTCCAAGGCTACATAGGGGAATGCAGCCGCAGAGGGAAAGGGATCGACGCCGTCCACCTGTGTATTGAGAGAGTATAGGGGAACGATTTTTGAAGCTGAACCACGGTGCACTCAACTATTGCGCTAACTCTCGAGTAATCTGAACACGATGGTCTCCTACCATTCTTGAACACCAAAGAGAAACTGTCGGCAGGAAGTATACTTTCCATGAGGCATAAGAAAGCTGCTTCGAAGAAAATCTTAATCCCCTCGAGAAGCTGCCACCTCTTTTTCATGAAGAGGAATATAGTTTAGAATGCCTTGATATCACATCGGAGGTTGACGTTTACTAATGTTCCTGTAGTGATGTAGTGTGACGCGTATACTTCTTGAAAAAAGGACATGGAAGCGGACAGGTAAATTGTTGGCGCCCATATCGGCTACCAGGAGGCGGTTCACTGATACTTCCGTATCTCTCAGACTCTTGCGAAAAATGTAAATCGTCTTATAAGGAGGTCACGGATGCCAACTCGCCTAATATTTCCAACACTGCGTCGTCTCCCGTCGCAAGTATACGAAGATCTATTTGGACGCAAAGACTGTGTTTAGTCCCACGAGTGAAAGATCAGCCTGTTGGTAACACCGTAAGCGAAGAGGAGTGCGCGTCATGTTCGGAATCCTTCATCGGAGAAACTGGACGACCACTCTACAAAAGGCTTGATGAACATTCAAGGACTTTCCGGAATCCAGCGAGCTATCCGGATAACCCTTTCTGGAGACACCAGTGCTCCCGCCAATGATGGTGCATCTGAACTCAAGGTGGGCGTAATCTGCAGGAACGTAAGTGACATGGTGGAGAAGAAAATGAAAGAGGCGCTAGAAGTCGAAGGAATCCTCCAATTAACAACAAAGAGGAGCTACAGCTAAAAAGAATAATGGTGATCATGTGACATAAATGGTGATACGCGACATAAGACAAATCGTATGGTATAAACTATTACCATCCCACCGGTGCTCCATCAATCTGCTCTTTCATTTCTGAAGAGACAGCTAGGGAGGTGAGTACATGTATGGTATACCTGGTTTCTAGTTCATCATAAGACCAACCTGCACCATGCTCCGGAACCTACTCCCACCCAGACCCTCCTTCCCCTAGAAAGCCGAAAAGTTGGTAGTTGCTTGTCTTCCCTCTTTGAATATCATGTTATGCATGTATAGTATTAGGTTGTCCGGAAAGTTCTTAGCGTTTTGTGCACCTAATCTTTGTACATTCACTGCCTGCATTAAAAATCATTCCGCCTTGCTTCTCAGTAGCACATCCTGTAGAGAATTTCTTGCGCTATCTGATGGTATAATTGCCGTTTCACCATTGCTTTGATAAACCCTCTTTTTTCAAGATTTTTTCAAGCATGTGAAAAAGCAGCACTTCGGACGATTTTTTCTTTCGGCTATAAATTGGGGCAATCCGCAATCGAAACAGCTCAACAAATTAACCAGGTGGTGGGCCCAATAGTGCTAAAGAAAGCACTGTGCGGCAAATGGCTCAATAAATTTCGCTCTGGAGATTTCAGCCTTTGAAGGTGAGCCTCATAGCGGTTCGACACTAAAGCAATATCTGACGAGGAGTTTTAGGGGGATTTTGAAGGTTGACCCATCCCAAACAGTTCGAGAGATAGCAGAAGAGCTAGGCCTTGGCAAATCCACTGTTTGCAGATGGTCTGGAACGCATTGGGAAGGAGAAAAACTCGACAATTGGGTGCCCCACAATCGGAGTGACCGGCAGGAATCGGCACGTCTCGAGGTTCCTTCTTCACTGCTTTTGCGCAAAAGAATTGACCCGTTTTTTGAACGGATTTGTCAACTGTGATGAAAAATGGATCATGTATGATAACGGAGACGTTCCGGACAGTGGTTGGATTTGGAGGAACACCGAGGTAATTTTCAAAGCCGAACCCTCCGCGAAAAAAAAATTCTGGTCAGGTTTGGTGGTCATCGGCCTGTGTAATCCACTATAACTTTTCATCACCAGGCCAAACCATCACAGCAGAATCCTTACTGTGAACAAACCGACCAAATGTACCGAAAATATTGTCGGCTGCAGCCAACACTTATCAAAAGAAAGGGTCCGATTCTTTTGCATGACAACGCCGCCCACACGTTTCACAAATCACTATCCATAAATGAACGAATTGGGAGTTGAAGTTCTACCTCACCCACCATATTCTCTAGACCTTTCACCAACCTACTGTCACCTTTTCAGACATTTTCAGAACTTCCTTGCTGGAAAAATACTTCATCAATTAAGACCAGGCAAAAAAGACCTTCGCAGATTTCGTGGATTCTCGACCACCCAGTTTTTTCTTTGGTGGATTTCTCGACTGCTGCCACATTGGGCAAAACGTGTGCTGATTCGAATGGTGCTTATTTGGATTAAATCCGATGAGTGTTTAAGAAATGTATGATCGTTTGAAGTTAAAACACCAAAAACGCTAAAAACTTTCCGGACAACCTAATAGTTGGATTGATGTTGATGTAGGTCCTGTGGCTTCAACATCCTTCAGAAGCGTCATTACACAAAAAAGTTACGGGTTTGAAAAAAGGTACTTCGAGTTCCAGGTCTATTCTGTTACCGCGAAAAGGGATCACTGTACTGTAGCTGTTGAATGCGTGGAACTCAAGTAGCCGATTCGATATACAGGGTTGGCCATAAATTATAGCGACAAGACTTGCTGCAGTTAGCGTACATTCTATCGCGCACATAGCGCGCAATTTTTATGGATTTTTCAAATTTCATCATTTTTTCTAACTCCTGTTAAAATTTGGTTAAATTTGGTCCATCTATAGTGAAATGGTGAAGCCTTCTCCTGATCGTTCCGCTATCGTTCGTCTGCACAAAGCCGGCCGCCCACCCGCCACGATCGCTAAGCACCTCGGCATCCACCGCAGCGTCGTGTATCGCACACTCCAACGTTATCGAGACCTTGGTGGACTCCAAGACCGCCGAAGAAGTGGAAGACCTCGTACTGCTCGCACGCCGAAGGTCGTCGAAGCCGTCAGAAAGCGGACAGCAAGAAACGCGACTCGGAGCATCTCGACGATGGCTCGCGACATGGGAATCTCGCGGAAGTCAATGGAAAGGGTCGTCCACAAAGATCTTAAGATGTACCCCTACCGTACTCGGAAGGCTGCTATCCTCAGCGCCTCGAATCAGCAGGCGCAAGTCAGGAAGTGCTGACAGCTTTTGCTTCGGACGCGCAACAAGGGCCACCATTCGATCGTCTTTTCGGATGAGAAGCTCTTCACCGTCGAGCAGCAGTTCAACGCTCAGACCGTCAGAGTGATCGCAAGGAATGCCGAGGAAGCCGACAAGAAGGGAAGAGTCGTTCACCGGGCCGCACAACCTGCCCAGGTCATGGTTTGGGCAGGGGTGTGTGCCTCGGGGAAGACGCCGTTGATATTCGTCGACCCCGGCGTCAAAATGGACAAAGATTACTACCTGAAGACGACCCTGAAAAAAGCTCTACTCCCGTGGACGAATTCCCTTTTCAACGGCCGCCCGTGGACATTCCAGCAAGATTCGGCGCCCGCCCACAAGGCCAAGGTCGTCCAAGCGTGGTGCAAGTGCGGACTCCCCGACTTCATCTCGGCAGAAGATTGGCCGGCATCGTCACCGGATTTGAACCCACTGGACTATAACTTGAGGTCCTACCTTCAGAGCAAGGCCTGCGCCACTCCCCACCCCAATTTGGATTCTCTGAAGGCAGCGCTCATCCGAGAATGGGGCGAAATCGACGACGCACTCATGCGTCCTGTCATCGACGCCTTTCCCAAGCGACTCCGCGCTGTCGTCTATGCCAAAGGTGGCCGAATCGAGAAGTAACTTATGATTGTTAATGTATCAGTTGTTACTCAATAAATGTTATGTTCATGGCTCGTTTGCACTTTTGCTTTCTGAGATATAAGGTGAAAACCTTGTCGCTATATTTATGGCCAACCCTGTAAGCTCGTGCTTTCAGGGCACGAAGTCGCACCGAGGCCTAAGAGAAGGGGAGTCGTATTCAGCAGAGATTTTACTCAACGTGATGGCGTGCCCTGCTTGCGAGGTCAGCCTAAGCGGAATCCAGATTTTTTTGTGCTCCCAAATGCTAGTACATAATCCAGGGGATGGAAGAGTTCTTTGGTACATGCGGAAGTCGATCCGAAGTTTCATCTTGGATCGTGCGCCTTTCAAGCGAAACCACCTGCTACTACATCCCCTCAGCCCATTGTGTTTTATTTATACTCTTCGGTGAATCCAGATCAAAACTTTCCAGACAAACCTCGCCGGTCATTCCCTTGACGTTTACCATGACTAGGTTTCCCTCGGCTCTGATATCCTCGACGAACGCCCGTCCATTCTGCATCACCACTGCCACCATTGTCACGTGTGTTCGGCGCAGGTAGACCACCACCCATTAAAGTCATACCTGGGCCAACATGTGGTCTTATGCCAGGTCGTGCACCGAACGGGCTGACGCCCGCACTCTAGAAATATTCACATTAATCGGGAAAAATACATAGGTAAATTTGAAACTCTCACCGCAGGAGCTTTGAGGGCAGAAGTAATCATGTTCGTAATCGTCTTGGTGAAGTCCTGAGCGAGCACGGGGTTTGACGTCCCTGAACAACAACGATGTTCGACATGCCTATGACACCCTGAATTGTGTATAAGACAAACCTTGTGGAGGGCCAAGAAAACTCGAGGTCTGCATGTATGGTGCTCTTGCAGTGCCTACATCAATTGGATATACAAACAAGCAAATTTTTGATTGGGATTACATGAGCCAAGTGCAACAAATGATAAAAACATACCGGAACCGCTTGCAACATTAGGAGGTGGCACATTAAAGTTGAGTGGGGGAGCAGCATTTGGAGGAGGCACTGCTGCACAAGCCATAGCTGGCGGAGCACTACTTCGATTTGGCGCTACAGCAATGTCGGGAAGAGCCTTACTTGACGCAGTCCTTTGAAGTGAACCATTTGACTAAAAGGATCATCACTGATTACATCACCAAACTAATACTGAAACGTCATACATGGGTGCTGAATGAATAAGAATAAAGGGAACGGCCTTGCTCAGCGTAAAAAAAACAAATTTCAAAGAGTTTCACACTCATACCGTTCCATTAACGGGAAGCATCGATGGTGGAGGCCTAGAGAAGTCAGGGAGGCCGGAAACTGCGGTGCTAGGAGATGACTGCAAAGGATCAAATAAGAAAATAACACAATTAATACTAGGAGAAGCTCGATTAACACATCTTTATTGATTGCAGGAGGTATGAGAGCATACTGGCTACTACTTAATGGTATAAAGTTGCTACATGAACTTCTAGCAATTTTTGGTAGGACATGTAATTGTTATGACAAGCAACAACATCAGTATCAAGCCAAATGCTGCTTTCCGTTGGAAGACAGAATATTTCGTCACTGGATACGTTGCCTTATAAGCTATTTGTGAGGATGTCTGTACTATACATGGATACGCATTCCTTTGTATCGCATTCGGACCGTATTACCAAGGATTTGGTACTGGTACTTATTGACAGATTCCGCACTGCATAGTACAGGATTCTAGAATAAGACTCATACATGAATTGGCTCGTCATTCTTCATCTCGATACCATTCGTTTACAATAACCCGGTCGTTTCCTGGCTACTCATCAGACCTGAGGTTCATAACCAACGATTTATCATACGCTTTGATACAGCTTGCCATACGCAAACGGATGATGACAAATTAATAGAAACGTCGCTGTTGCATTTGGATGATTAGGTGGATCTCTGTTTCTGATAGTTCCGCTATTAGAAACAGGGATCCAGCTAATCATCCAAATAAGACAATAACGATTTACTAGAAGATCCAGAACCGACCAGGCCAAAAAGGGAACCATTACATTTAGTGTAGTTAAAGAGCGGAAAGAACACCAGGTCATACAAAAGCAGATGAAGAGCGTAAAACAAAATAGCAATAAGCTTTTCTTCCCTATTTTAGTCCCCTAAAAAAACTTTAAGCATAACAACCATCTCTAAAAGGACAGAAGTTGCAGGAAACATTTCTCATCGCAATGTGACCACAAAAACAACACCACTCATAGTCGAAGGACTACGACCGCTACTCTGGAGCAAGAGTTCGTTACGGCGCTAGTAACGAAAATGGGACGATGAAGATCTCTCAAAGCTTTTCAGGCGACAACAAAGATCCCTCAAAACTTTTCAGACCTAAATTCAATCTGTCAACGTGAAAGGCAGGAATATCCGAAAGGTTACCATTGTAGGCTCATGATTGCACTCTGCACCACGAGTTCGATCCGTGCCAAGGCATAAGCCGTGCCTTGAAAAAAAATGTAAAGGTGGCAGCAAAGCCGGTATCGTACCCAAGATGACAGGCCCGCTGATGGAGAACACTTTCACGACAACCACGTCTGAAAGTCGCAAAAATATCAGTGTTAATGCTAGGACGCCACCTGCATGTGGCACGCAGAACTCTCGTCCGAGTTCTGTGGCCAGTATGCGAGGGCTGCCGAGGGGTGAATGACCTCTGCCAAGAAACTTGTTCGAAGTAGGAACCCAAACGTGGTGTCACTCACCGGGAAGTCCATCCAAAGAAAACCATCCGATGTTAGACAGATATGGAAGAATATTTCGACGGACTCCTGAACGACGGGTTCCCCCGCAAGACGGTACACAGATAGAGGCCACGGCAAGCCCTATTTCCCCTTCGACAGAGGATGAGGTCTTCCGAGAGTTAGAAAGGATGGGGGTTGAGAAGGCAGCGAGTCCAGACGGGATACCGATAGAGGCGTGGAAGGCCCCCGGAGAGCGTGGATGGAGTTGATTCACTCTTTTCCTGAGCAACGTAGCGTCCGAAGGAGAATGCCGGATGCGTGGAGGAGCAACTCAATTGTCCCTATCTTCAAAAAGGAAACGCGACAAAGTGCTCCAACCACCGCGGCATCAAGTGTGTTGCTATCTCGCAGGAGCAGTTCGGCTTCATGCCCGAAGGTACACCACTAATGCCATCTTCATAGCTAAACAGGTGATGGAGAAGTATCGAGAGAAACGGCGACCCTCCGATCTAGTTTTCCTGGACCTTGAGAAGGCATTCGACCTATCTCGGCCTGTGCTCTGGAGAGCGCTTAGATAAGGAACTGTTCCAGAACACCTGGTCTTCACTGTGAAGGACATGTACGATGGGTCCAAAGCAGCTTTACGCACCCACACCACTTGAGAAAGAAGAATAACATCGCAGTTGGGGCACGCCAAGGATGGACCCTCAGCCCGTTCTGCTTCCTCTTGACTCTGAATATCATGACAAAAGTACCCAAGGGAGGGGGCACCATGAACCATCTAACGATCCTGCCTCGCCTGATGAAGGATATCGGGGAAGAACTACAGGGTACGGTGCAGAGGTAGCAGGTGTTCGCAGAATGGACTCCGACTGAACAAGATGAAGCCAAGTTTCTGAGCTCCGAATATTGCACCGAACTCATCCTTGACCGCTACGGCGAAAGCATAGGAAGACGAGGGCCTCCAGTACCTTGGAAGGGGCCTCCAGTACCTTGCACCAGCCGACGCAGCTGACGGTAGCGACGACCAGGCGGCAAAAGTTCCAATAAATGAAGCGTGGATGGAATGGAGGGACTCCACAGGCATCCTTTGCAACCGGCCCACCGTCAAGAAGGCTCAAGGGCAAGGTGCACCGGGCATACTAAGGCGAGCGATGCTCTACGGCAGCGAGTGCTGGCTCATATGCAGAACCATGAAAGGCAGCTCCACTTAGCTGAAACGAGGATGTTGAGATAGACGTGGCTGAACACAAGTACACAGAGACAGAAGCGAGGACGTCAGGGCGGTCACACAGAAGGGCATTCAGCGAACATCTATCTAGCTGAAGGCACGAGAGCAGCGACTCCGATGGTGTGGGCGCGTACCGAGGAGGCCTGACGACCACCCGATAAGGAAATTTAGAATTCGAAGTACAGGGCAAGCGACTACGAGGAACCCCAAAGAAAAAATGGAAGGACGTCATCAAGAAAGAGCTCACTGAAGTGAATGCCACAGCAGAAGATGCAGTGGACCGGACCAATTGTCGACGTCTAACAAGACAAGGCTGTCAGCGTACAATTGTCTTAATCGTTAAATCTTGGGCATGAGAGAAATAGGGAATCACTATCGATATGTATACGTGTGAGCACTCTAACCTGTTGTTTAACCTCGCTTTATGCAATGTTTAATCCATATCGATATCTTCCATATGGCTATGGGTGCTTAATTTGATCGGTTGGTGATCAATGCATGTTACTCAAATCTATAAGCCATTAAGTTGGTGTGTGTTTTTTTTTATGTTTGTTTGTATGTCTATCTGTAGGTATGTCCATCCGTCCGCAAAACGATTTACTGGCTCTGAAAGGGGACAGTCGCCTAATTCATAGTACGGAGCCACTTCCATAAAGTGATATAATGGTGGGGCAGGAACGGATTTGGCGTCTGACAGAACATTATCACAGCTGGTAAGATCCGATAAGAGTGCGCAGTGTCCGATGTAGGACGGGGGACACATTGTGCGCCTAAAACGGAAAAAAAATCAACGAATTCTGTGGGGCCAGATAGACCTCTGTGCTGCGCTCCAAACAAGGATAATGTGTAAGGAGAGGTTTTCTCACAATTGTTAGGGGGACGGCTTTTGCAATAGAAAGGGTGCAGTTCTCACTGCAAAGAGATCCTGTCATTGTGTACCTCAGCTTCCCTGTGCAATGCATGGTCTGAAACAAAAAAGAAAGTGGGATAAGTTCGCTTTCTATTAAAATCACGTAGTAGTGTCTGGTGAATGGCAGTTTTATGAACTACCCGTGCGAGCTCCAAGTTTCCAAGTCAGGGAGGAAAAGTGTTTGATAGGAGTGCAGACCAAAGAATGTCCCAGGAAGTGTCTCACGAAGCTAAACCTCCACAAATTTGCGATCTCTGATATTTTTTTTACCCTGTTTCTGAGATCGCGTTGATGCGACGACGAAGGTGAGTAACCCATTGAAAAAGCCATTTTGATCCAAGTTTTACTACTTGCTCGACCGGAACCCGACCGTTCATGACACGCAACGAATGTCCCTGCCATACGCGAGAGCGCCGACAGATAGGGACGAAAGTGCATCTGAAATCCCTCGAAAAAGGCGTCTCCGGCCTTGACTCAGTAAATATTACCTGGATGAGAGAGCACAAAACAGCAGCGTGTATAGGCACCCACGTCCTCGATGAGCAAAATTATCAATGATATCAAACGAAGGCAAATTATTGAGTTAAATTGCATTTTCGAGTAGCGGACCATCTGCGGCTACTGACCCGTCCCCAAACCTCAGATTATCGAATAATATCATAGGGTAGCTTCGTTGTTCATTGTATTCATTTCTGTAGTCCACGTGCGACTTTCCTGCTATCTTATCAACCTAGATATCCCTCTCGTATTTCTTCAACCTGCGAAAGTTTGGACGCTTTATCGTTAGGCCTAGTTTCGGCGTCTCTTCGCCTTCGTCTGAGCCTGAAATGCACAAAAAGCAGATCTGACTCGCCCGCAAGCGGCTAACAATCCCCAAGGCAAGTTCCCTAGACTAGTAAAGCAACGACGACATCGACCAATACAATTACGGCTCATCTACTAGATAAACTGACCAGTGTCAATCTTCATGTAAGTAGCGTCATAGAATCCTTTGACGAAACATCATTGTAAACCCACGTTTCAAATGACGCGCCGCTAGAGGTCGTGTACGAGTTGCTTTGTGGGCATGAATCCTCATTCAATTTTTATGGATTCACGATCCCACAAGTATGACAGTTTTACAGGAGCGCCTAGAAGCTCAGTTTTCAGATGGGTGGGTGATTATTACAAACAGCTGAGAGGCCTACCTATGGACAGCGGCTAGGCCCTGTCTTAGCCATAACATTCATGTCTAAAGTCGAGGAACCCGTACCAGACCCAATTCTATACTACTATAGATACATTGAGGACTGTCTCATAACATGTTCAACTCAAAGTGAAATGGATGCCTGTTTCGATATATTAAATGAGCAGTTGAGCAACATCGAACTCACACGGGTAGAACCTATCGAGAATTGGCTGCCGCTCCCCAATATTCAAGTCCAGCTATCACGGGGGGAGGGGAAGGGGAAGCAGTCAGGACCAAATTGTATCGTGAGCCTAGCAGTAAGAACATTTTGTTCATTATTCCTCGCTCACACGATTGAAACAAAGCGAATATTCAGAGTCGCCACTAAGGTCAAGTCCGATACCGAGTTGAAAAAAGAATCTTCGAACATTGCTCAGGGCATTGCGCTATCCAATGGATATACTTGCTCTGGGGTGACGCGAAGGGGGTATTCCACAGTCTGAGAACCGCCCTTCAACCCCTGATGCCTCATAAAGTCGTTTTTTTGCTTGCTTCCATCTTTGATCAAGAGAGTAAGGCAGTCCGAGCACTATAACATCGATTTGATCGGCAAATCGAAGTTAGAGAAAAAATTGGCCTTGTACCGAGCTCAAAAAAAGTGAAATCCCCCTTCCTCATAATCCAGATACCTCCAGTACAGAAGGTCGTAAGTTTGCCGTTAGTAGCCATAAGAAAAAAGTCTTAGTTGGATTTCCCTATCTATCAGAGCAGTCCAAGTAGTAGCGCTGGGGCGCGCTCGGTCGCATACCGACGATCGCCACCGCTGTCGCGAAATATGAACGCTGCCGTAGAGAGGATATTGTGTGGTCATAACCTGTGAGCTGGCGTCCTTGCTCGACCTTTGCAAGTATTGATCTACAATGAGGTCGTGAATGGAAAATAGTAGTATTACTTCACGATTAAGTGTTCCCCAGGGTGGTCGACCCTCCATCGCAGCGACTGAGCTGTAATATCGTCGGATGCTTTACTAGTCTAGGAAAATTGTCCTGGGGATTGTTTAGGCGCTTGAGCGGACAATTCAGATCTGTTTTTTTGTCCATTTCAGCAGACGAAGGCGCCGAAACGTAGGCCTAACAATAAAGCCATCCAATCTTGTACAGGTCTGAAGAAATACGAGAGACACCTTTCTGTAGTGCTCTCAAATTATCGTGCAACGTTGTTACTGATCCTATAAAACGTCTCCAAAGGTTGGTTTGCCTTCGTTCAATAATGCGAAGTACAAGAAATACGTAGCGAAGTACAAAAAATACTTACAGGGCGAGCATGAAGAGGAGCACTGGGTGCTGGACCAGATGAAATTGGAGGGGGAGGATGAGAAAACGCTGATGGTATGAACGAAGAGCTCATCGACTCCGCTCCAAGGTCCAGATCAGGTGACACGGATTTCGCTGGTGGAGGCGCCGGTACAGATGCTGACGTTGTCTCAATGCCTGGAACAGGCACGATTTAAGGAAATCTATTTCGACTACGATTGGTACAACACGGTATTGGGTGTGATTCAGCGGCAGACGATCATTCGGCGCAATCCGATTGCCACTGGCGCACATCGGCTGTAACTGATACCCTCACTCGTGATGCGACCCGTACATTGGACAACCGTCCAGGTCTTAATTTTTAGATTGGCGTAACTGATCGGGCCCCATTGAAGCACGCCAACATGATTGGGTCCAAATGTTTCGGTTAAAGACAGCGCCCGCGATGGACTTTGGCAGGTTTCAGGGGTCACATTTGCAAGAACAGGTGGCCAATGAAGCATTAATCAAAAAAAGCAGGAAAAATGTGTAGAAGAGCGTGAAATAAGACCCTATGAAATTTAAGGCATGTGGACGAGTTTCGCAAACTTCCGCTGAGTTCTCCAATACACGTCGCCGCCTCGGACCTCTAGAAATCATATCAATGCCAGCAAGCATTGACAACTGTTAACCAACCGGGGCGGGATTAACAGGAAAGGAGGCGTCAGCTCAGCGTTGTTGACTCCGCCCTCGTCAACCAATCGATTTCAAGCCGCGAGAGTCGGATCTCCGCTGCGGTTGCGGACTCCGCGTTCGTTTTCAATGCAGAGTTTTTTCACAATGGTTGATCGCGGACGCTGCCTTTAATCGTTTTTGTCCTTCAAAGCGGCTTTCAGCAGACAGTGAATAGTGCTTCGCGTGTGAGTCCAATACAAGTTTTTCAATAGACATGATCTCTGAAACAAACTCTCAGCCTCCTTACCCTTTACCGCTCCCTCTTTCGAAATTCCAAAAAGACGCTGGCCAAAATTTTTCTTGTGTATATTTGGCTAGAACTGTGTACCCAGGGTAATCGTGAACACGAATACCGCACCAGCTTTGCATGTCAATGTATTCAGTGCAGGATGCAAGTTGACGGGTAAAACTAACTAAAGTGGCGAATTACTACTCCATTTTCAAGGCCAGGGAGGGTCAACGGTCGCCATGGTCATTCAGGATGGTATGCATATCGGTGTGTGCGTCTTGGAACGCTGAATTCAAACTCTGCTTTCAGAATTTGCGAAACGAGTCTCTAGGAGGAGCTGCGGGGTGAGGGGGTTCTAGCATGCCATCCGCTGACTTTCATCTGAGCTCTAATTCAGTTCGGAAACTAATAATGCCAAGCGGTAGGTGCTATAGAGGATAAGTAAGCTGCCTAAAAGATGCGAGGTCAGCTGTGTGTAAATCATGGTCGGGTCCCGTTTTCGCTTTTTTTTTCGAAACGCCTTCTGCGAATCCAGAAAGTGCGCCTATTCCGTTATTTTGTCAAGCTTGCTCTCAGTCGCAGCAGGAAAAAAGTCGAACGCCATATTTTCGCAGTTGTGCTTCTTTCTCAAGACTTCTACCACAAAATTGACCGGTTTTAAATTGTACATGAATGAGTCAATATACAAGTATTCAAGAGCACATGTGATGTTCTTTCACGAAATGTAAAGCAAAACAGCTCCCGCACACGAATGAAGGAAAATTCTCCACAAGCGGTGTAGTCGCAGTGTCCCATCAATCCAGAAGGGCAGGAGTACTGAACAGGTGTTACAAAGTCGGCGAAATTTCCATCAAATTATTCGGCTGCATACCAGGAATAGCAAGACGTTCTTGAATCGAGGAGAACAAAACTGAAAACAAACGAGACAGAAGACAGAGAATAGAGCCCCAGCTAGGTATTGATGAAGAGTTCTCATGTTATGGGCTTAACAGATTCATGTGAACACGATTCTGCCCTTGTAAACTTCTGTAGTAACTGGTGAATTTAAAACACCGTTCGACAGCGCTCTCCATCTGAATTGATGGAACACTGGACTTCACCGGTTGCGGAGAGTTTATTCACTCGTTGTGCTCACTGTGGGAAGCTGTTTTGATTCAACATTTCGTGAAAAAACAACACATATGCTCTTGAATAGTTGTAATTTACCCATTGATGTACCACTTGAAAATCTGGTTAATTTTGTAATACAATTCTTGAAAAGAAGAACACCTATGGAAGTGCCAGCAATTGACCCCCTTTCTGCTGCGAATGAGAGCAAGCTTGACAAAATAACGAATAAGCGCACTTTCTGGACTCATAGAGAATGATCTGAAAAAAGCAACAACGCGACAATCAAGGATGGAGACCCCTGACCTCGCATCTAATAGGCAACTTACTTATCCCTACATCACCGACCACTCGGCATTATTGCACCGACTGGGTAGCGCTCGCTGCAAAAACTTATACATCGGTTCCAAAACCAGACACCAGACAAGAGGCTGTTACACACTTCTTCCTCCACAGCAAATCCACATCAATGCATGGAGTGCCACATAGAAATTTTGGAGATTGCTTTCTAGTAGGTATTACAAGGAATAAAACGATCAAGTTGGGTACTTTCGAAAAACATCAAAAACGGTAAATCGTGCGGGCGATCTGAGTGACCCTCCTCTGAAAAGTTAGGGGCAATATTCACTGCACACGCAGAAGAAGGATCTGGTTATCAGAACTGCGAGTCTATATGTAGTGAAAGTACCAAAAATAAAATCAAAAGTCTACAGATAAGAAACACGAAAACATGTCCACAGTAACTTATGAAGTGCTTCGGAAGATGTTCCCGAATCGTACATTTTCGATCTGCACACATTACAGACAAGTAGAAACGAAAAAGGATGAGATTCCAGACGAAGCAAAAAAGTTGTCACCAACCGGAGCCGAACCACAGACCCCACCTGGTATGCATTCCAGAATACCCGCTACCACTGCGCCATACCATCACTACAGGTGAGCAATGGAGAATAAACTTCTTATGAAACTTACAACTTTCTACGACCTTTTCACTACTTTATGAAGCGTGCTCCACTGCTGAAATTCGAAGTGGTTTCCTAGAGGACCTCCTTCACACAATGAATATTCGAGGCTACAAGCTGTTTGCATTGCAATTTGGTGGTTTGTATAACCCTTGAAAAAAAGTATTTCACTTCTTTTTTGGCATTCCTGAAACCGCTCAGCGAAATTGAAACTCATGGTTGTGGTCTATGTACAAGCCATTGCAAAATGCAAAAAACGTTCTGAAAAGCGGAGCACACCCTGAACGATCCCTCGTAAACAACATTGAGAAAGAGATGTCGGGGCGAAAGAGGGCAAGTAATAACCCAAGAGCGGAATTGTTTAACTAGAACACTCGGACGCAATCTGTCGTCTATGTTGGTCCACTACCAATGTAGATCGATTAATTACATCTATCTGGAAATTAGTAGACCTGGACGAGTTGCACGGTATGGAATACGCGTCGCAACGGCGGAGTGAGGGTTTCAATTCCAAACGATGCATCCGAATGGCAACTGGGTCGCACCGAACGATATACACCCAGTTCAGCACATAGATGCGCTGCCCGCAGGTCACTCGAACCAAGACCCAACTCACTCAAGGTGGTGATGTTGTAGACTAGAAAATGTTCTGTTAATTACGCGAGATGCTGCGCCTCATATACTCGAAATCCCCGAGACGGGTAGGCGTGGCTGCATGCTTCGACTTGACCCGAAAGAGTATATGCTTCTGGTGAGATATTTTCATCCTGACACAATTGTTGTCGTGACTCTGTCCAACACAGAACAAGATGACAGTTGGCCCAGACTGGAATATTCCACGAGTAACCAGTTCCGTGTCATGTTTAAATGCTACGCCTACTCTGGCTCAGGGCTAAGGAGTGTACGATACGGACGGCACTTCTATATATCAGAAAGCATTAATTAACTCACTTGACATGGAAGGAGGGATGCCTGGTACGTTGGATCTGGGAGGCATTATCGGAGGTATACCAGGAGGAACAATGAATTGAGACATACTTACTGAAGGCGCTGTGCCCGAACTAAAAATACAAAGTTGACTGTTTGTACGAACGAATCAATAACGCGAATGCTAACACACTTCATGTACACTGCAGGAACAGAAGAAGGTTGGAACTGCGAAAATTGAGGAGCAGTAGTTGTTGAAGATGGTAATGTCCCAAGACCTGAGAATTAAGGGCATTTCACTCGCTGGCTGCCAAAACCTTCGCACATACCCGTTTCATTGATGAATACATTATCTCCATCAATCCTGACCACTGATTGCAAATGAGCTGGCAAATCGGCGTGGATCACTTTCATCATATCCACCTCACCTTGGCGCATTGCTTTCATTTCGCTAAATCAAGAAAGTGTGACAAGGAATAGAACAGAAGAGTAAGTACAACGTATTACTTAAGTAACTTCTCGCGTTTCTTGCACAGTCGCTGCGCATTAGTGAGTAAGTAGAGTGCCTCGGTAACGGCACTAAGCAGCTGCTCGTCACCAACACTAGCAGCCTGAAGTAGATACCACACATTTGTAATAATAAAACGATTTCGAACAATTCTGTTCTCTCTTGTTTCCTACAACCTATGTCTGAGTGGGAAAAAAACTACGGGAACGATGCATTTACTGATGGCTGGAACGGCAGCAGCCGAACAGCTGAGGATCAAGATTATTGACGAGGAAAGAAAAACAGCCTTCAGAACACCTAAGCTTTTTCCAGGAAGTAAAGATAAAAGAGTAAAACGATGATAATGAAATGAACAGTTCCACATATACACAAATAAAGACTTTGTAAACAATGAGTCCGCAAACATGTGAAGGGTCGCCTCAAAGGACTACTACTTATTACAGACCGCGCCCAAGGATGAGTCTCTTCAGATAGCTTCTCTTATTTTTGTATGCAGACGCGAGAAGAGTAATTTTGGTATCAATCTTGTACTGAGATGTTTACCTTATATTTTCGAGGAATTTTAACATAACAAACAGTGGATCTAACACAACACCCACGGTTCAATCAATTACGCATCTACTCATTCCCAGCAGTTTGGAAACGACTTTTGCTCAACCGCATCTTGTTACAATATGTAACAGGAAAAAGGAACGGCTAAATCAAATTGCAAATGTTGACTCTAAGGCGAGGCACCCGGAATAGAACTCCAAGACACGTACTGAGTATAGCGGCCCTCTTTTAGTGATAAGATGTAGCCAATCATTCTAAGAAAAAGACATGCGGAAAGTTATTAATACTGGTGAAAACAGTCGCCTCGCTTTCTTGAAAGCGAAGAAGTGCAGAAAACGAAGCAAAAACACGAAAAACTGCCAGATTTTTTTAGTGGTTGTCGCACAACATGACATTAATATTGAGGATGTAAATATTGGATCATCCTATTCAAAAACGAGGAGGCATATAGATAAATGGCAGAAAAGCAAAGGGGCTATGGCTGTAGGTCTCTATGTCGTTCCAATTTGTAGCGTCTACCCTGAGCTACTTATGCGTGGAACTTGGCTAGCCCAGCCTAGAAGAAATTCAAGAGATAATGAAAAGAGGTGATAACAGAGCTGGTTTTTCGAATCGGACGTCATACAAGAAAAAGGACTGCTCAAATTTATCCTGTGCCGGACCAGTAGTTGCATATAAAGGTGTTCTCGAAATAGAATGTAGAACATTCGGTTCGTCAGTCCAGAGAAGGAAGAACGAAAAAAGTTGTGGCCGAGGAGGACCTCATAATGTTCATCCTGCGCAAGAGGAGCGTATGGATAAAGCCAAGGGTCGAATGCTTGATAACATTGACTGAACCCTTATAGCTTTTCCGTGAAGTTGACATTCCTGCTGCAAACACTGCCCGAGTGGTTTCCAAAAAAAAAACTGAAATGGTCAAAAGGTTGGGTGTTCGGGTACCTCATTTTCTCGTAGAAGCAGGAATGCAGAACTGATTCGATGCCTGTAGTAACAACGCTCTCCACATCAAATGTCATTCAAGACTGTGAAAATGCACCGTGACCCTAGACAAAATTCTTGAGCTCCGTGCCGAAACTTATACGCGCCACTCTTGTATGAATACAGGTGAGAAGCAGCCAGAGTTCTGTCATCAGGAGTTACGTGGACCCAAGCGGATAACATTTATGGCAACAGATTCCTGCATTGTGGCTTTCAAGCGGTTCTATACAGAGAATGAAGAAGTCGCTGTCGGTGTACCATATATAGCATGTTTCACGACAATCACATCCACAGATGTACTGTACCACACAAGTACAAGAAAGTTACCATTGCACGACACAGAGCCAGGCTCCGAGCCACAGTATTATTGGGCAGCGCTCAACACAAGCAATACTGAGAGCTGTGTTCAACTGCATATTCGCCCGACCTATACCGTGCAATTTCACCTGTTCTGGTCAGTCGAAGGTACTGCCCAACGTAAATGCGACGACGCTTTGCCATTCATCAAACTTGGCATAAACAGCAACTTACTCGCACTTGTAGAAAAAACGAAGGTACTAGTGGTCCAAACGCTCACGGGGCGATGGGAACGGGTCATTGTTGAAGGAGGGATCAACATAACATAAAGCCAAAATATTACTTTTTTTTATGTTTTATTCTTCGTTTATCTGAATAAAACCTTCCACTTTCTTGAATGGGATGACGTATTTAATATACTGAGAAATGATCGCTAGGCTACCGCACACTGAACTAGTAATGCCCTCAGAAATATTCTTTTCGCATACTTTTCCTTAGTGCAAACAACGCGGAACACCAAGCACACCGTGTGCGCTGCTCCTCCAACGGATTTTCGATGACCATCCACTCTTTGACGAACACTAATTCTGATCGACTACGCTTTCCGGTGAACAGGATTCCGCGGAAGGCGGGTTTTCGCGACAAAACACATTCAAAGTATGAGAAGAGCAGGATGAAAAAAGGTTTCCACCTACCTGGTTTTCGCTCAACGCAATATGAGCGGTGCAACGCCGCTGCAGTTCTGCCGGATTATTGGAGAGATCCTCGAGTGCGCTGTCCACCAATCCGTCACCATGAGATGGGTGGTCATCACGTTCTGTTCGCCAGTCATCGCGGCCATTGCGACGCTGGTTGGATTCCAACCACCCACCGCGACCACGGTGTCGCTCATCGCCGCGATCACTGTTGTCGTCATGTCGCCGCTTTCGTCTGGAACTCACATCCGGTGAACGGTTCCTAAAAATCGGTAACATATGCGGGAAATGCTATGAATCGAAAGATCAACCGACAAAAGCGATAACAACCTTCCAATTGAGTTATCCCTTTCCGATCGGTGAACATTTACAGATAAGAATTCGGCTCCTGGTCTGAAACCAATTGCCTTTTTGTGCACCTCATTGAGTAGGGGGGAATACAAACATAATAGGAACATAATCAAACAAAATGAAAAGGGACAGTTTGCTAGCGTCCATACTTTGGGATCTGAGCGGAGCTTACGCCAGCACTAGCGGCTAGAAAAGTATAGGTACCGATCTAACGTTCGCTAGCATATGCCAGCAAAATAAGTAAAGCAGACGCCAGCCCATCTGCTGGACGCATTACACCACCCGCGCAGCCACTGAACCACCGTATCCCACACCTAAAGCTAAAGAGCTTTTAGAATTCCTATCAAGTATTTCTCACTGATATTACACATTTTTCACTCATTTCCTTCATGTTCATGTTTTCATGTACGCGTTCAGTTTTTTATTGCCACTGTTATTCAAGTAGCGCTACCCCAGTCCTCCCAAAGCAGACCAGTTTTCTACCAACTTTTTTTCCTACGGAAGCAGATTCGGCGAAGACTTGTTACCAGGAGTAGTTTGACATTTTGAGTCATGACTGCCACATCTGCATGGGGCGTCAATGGAGCTAAGTATGGAGGACAGGGGTTAAAAGTCACAGTCTGCTGCTGCTGCTAAGGCTCACAGTACGGTAACTTCAGTAGGCGAACAACGAAACATCGTACCCCCAAAGGAGCCATAAATAAATCTGGATGCACACCGAACACAGCATCACACAACAACAGCGTTGAATTTGCCCTGATAACGCACGTATGTGTTGTGGTTACTATTGCCTCGAGCATTTTTGAACGTTGTGGGCGAGAAGAATGGTAGGTATCGAACTGGCGTTTTTAGCTGCTATCGACACCTACACTATACTTTTCGCTCAAAACCCTAGTATTCCGCTGACAAGATTCAAAACGCTAGGTCAACAGCTAACTTTGCTTTCCGCCAAAACACTCGAAACGCTCAAACGCACACGAGAATTATGAACGTACTGCTCATCGCAACCCAGTCCAAGTAGGTTCGTCTTAATTCTCAATCAAATAGACTGTTTAGGTTTTAAAGACACGACCGCATCAATGGGAAACTTTTCGCCTTCCAGATTAGTGAACGATTTGTTGCATTATACACAACTTTTTCTCCGCATTTCAGCACCACTCCTAAAATGCCTAGGGTAATTTAGGTTTTAACTGCGAGCTTATTCGTGAAGCTGTGAACAGGGCTGACTGTGGATCTTGTACTCGTGTTGTATTTCGTCAAAAAAACTGCTTGATCATTCCTCGTGTCGCACGAAACCAACAGGAAGCAAGCAGGCGGTGGTAACTACACGACAAGGAGGCTATACTGTCATCAGAACTACATCTCTAAGAATGTGGATATCTTATTCCCGAGATATCTTATCTCAAGAATATGAATAATTCAAACCACTACTCGGACATGGAAAGGAGCAAGGCATTTATCACGGAATGAGTGCGGCATCTGAGAAGGAGAACACCTGCAAAACTATTTTGTTCTACCAATTTAATCAATTTTCGGGGAGGTCTCGTGACATTTTCATCTGGAAAATGCTTCAAAAAGATGCCTCAGTGATTTGTAAAGACTCCGCTGCAAAGTTATGAGAAAGTCTGACCCAAACGCGGACTGGGTGTCATTGAAACCCGATTATACAAGTACATTTATAAACAGAAAAAGATGTGTTGGAGCATCCAAAGGGCCTGTAAATCTTACGAACACTATTCCATGCAATTATTCCAATCCCATGCAATAGTTCCTACTGAAGTTACCGTACTGTCTAAAGCTCTCATCATTGCAGCCTGAGTGAATCTTTTCATGACCGCAGATTTGAAATAGAGGATCTTTAAGAGAGACTGACGCCAATCACATCCAAATGGGGCATCTTACTGGTCTTTACAACTAGCTAAAACACATCTGGATATGCGGCATGAGTTTATTCGTATGATGGAGTACTATAAGCTAGAAAGAACGGGAAAATTTGCGAAAGTGCTGAAGGACTAAGGGTGCACAGAGACGACAAAGGAAGGAAATAAGAAAGACGACAAAGGAAG